AAAAAAAATGAATCTCAGCATTTGAAATGTTCTTACCCGGCCTCATCTGCCATTTCCATCATCAGAGCATCGACTTGACCCTAAAACACAGCACAGTGTCACAAAAGGCAAAACAACTACTATGTCAGTGTATATCTGGCCTACAGTGCGGTCATTGTAGTAAGCGAGTGCATCTATCACCTGTGGTGTAGTGAGTGTTGTGGTGCTGCTCATTGTGTCCTCCATATGAGCCGTCTGTACATCCAGAGTTTCAAACTGACGCTCAAACTTATCCATTAGAGCTGAAATCTGACAAATCAGAACACTGCCAGTCAAATCTAGACAAATCAGATTACCGCAATTGTTTTTATGAGCAGCTCAATGAAAATACTTCAAGAACAAAGTCGTCGTCGTCCTCCCACCTTCTCAAGGTTCATGCTCTTCAGGGTTGCATCCATGCCCTTCACCACCCCAGCCATAGATTTGGTGACCTGGAGAATACAAATCAAGAGTTGACTGTTAAATCTACTGGATAATTACTTGGGTATGTCTAGTTTAAAAGAAAAAAAAGCAGTTTGTGTACCTTGTTCATGGTGACTGCTGTCTGTACTCGCGCAGCCACCGCATCCACTCTTGCGCTCATTCTGAGGAAGTTCACTGATTGGTTCTTCTGGCGAATGGCGTTTTCCGCATGTATCCGGGCAACCTCCATATTGCCCTTTTGGACTGCCTAAGTTACACAGACATAAGCACTGGTTCATTAGGACACTGGTCACCAAAACACAGTCTTTGACTTAAAGCAATACATTACATATGGCAGAAAATGCATGAGCTTAATTGTGGGCAGAATTGATGATCAGCTTGCTTTACGAAGTTTAACATTAATGAGAATATCTTGCCCTGACTTGTCAAGTTCAAAACAACATTTACTTTTAAACACTTAAGTACAGTTAAATGTGGTTAGTTTTTTACTTTCACTCAAGTATGTTTTTAGTAGGGATGCACCGATATGAAAATTTTGGCCGATACCGA